AACATATTGTTATTGAACAACTGGCAAGAGGAATGCAAGTCACGCGATCAATAAAACCTAAATATATATTGAATTCCAAACGAATCAAAACGGCAACTGATCAACTAGCCCTTGGTATAATTACTAGAAAAGAATTTTTAATAAAATGTTCTTATGCAGTTGACGGTTACATTTCAAGAGAGGGAAATTGGACAAGATATTTTGAAAATATTGGTATGTATAATATATATATATATATATATATATACTAATACTTGCTGACATATTGTACTTATACCTATACCTGTCAACTAACATTTAAAATTATTTGATTGTTTTGAATATATAATGTTATATAGATGGTAACGAAGTTGAAATCTCATCAGAAGATGAAAATGCTGCACTACCTTTAATTGGAGTAGAGCAAATTCCCCTGAATGAGGAAAACATAGGTAAATTCTAATAAATATTATATTAATATATTGGTAAATTAATTAACACTAAGATTATAATTGTTTTGATTATTTTGAATAATGTATAATATTATACAGATTATAACGAAGTTGAAACTTCTTCTGAAGATGAAAATGCTGCACTACCATTAAATCCAGTACAGCAAATTCCACTCAATGAAGAAAACATAGGTAAGCTAAAATATCAATATTAGATATTTATTTTTACAGTTACAGTTTAAATTACTTTAAATTATTTTTTGATTATTGATGTAATAGATTATGACCAAAACGAATATGTAAATGAAATTGAGAACAGCGATTCTAATGATAGTGTTTTTTCATTTGTGTTAAGAMCTGGAAGAAAGGGAGCAGTTGTATCTAACGAACCTATTGTGAATGAAGGTAATATATTTATTTTATTTTTATTTTTTCATTAACCTACCATTGTGAATATATTTTGTATTATTTGATTAAATTTGATAATTTTATTGTTTAAATATTGCATTATTCATTGTTTACAAAAATATATTTATTATTATTATTATTATTATAAGTATTATATTTACTTTTTTAATTTAAGTTCTTAATAATGTTAATGATAATAATTTGTTGTTTTTTTATATCTCATTATTGGATATTTGAATCAATAAATTTACAACTTCAAGAGCCTCCTAACAGAGGTAGGTATAAATGAAAACCCTGAGCCAGAAGAACATAACTGTAAGACAAATCGAAAAATTTATATTGCTATATTTTTTATAATCTATATTATATTGTATTTAAATTCTATTCTAGGAAATGAACGTGATTTTTTTGTTCCTGAAGATTTGGCGTTAGAAATGTGGCAGGTATTGTATGGTAGGRATGAACCTCTGCAGGATATTCCATAATATGTCCAAGTTAATCGTAACTATCAGGAAGGAGTTCTGAATAATGAAGTAGTTTGTGTCGTGTGTAGAGATAGTTTAAGAACACACGCACTAATACCTTGTGGTCACAAAGTACTTTGTGAAGAATGCGTCAACCAGCTACTTGATAAACGTTGTCCCATTTGCAATACTGATTATACTTTAGCTATTCGCATCTGGGAATAGTTCTTTYCTTATTTGTTATTTTTAACATTTTTTTGTTGTTTAAAAAAATGTACTTATATAATATTGAAAAATGAAAAATAAATGTATTATGCTTATCCCAGAGTAAGAAAATTGCTACTTTTTTTTAATTAGATACTGAATACATCAGTTTTCAGTTTGTTTTTTGTTTGCTTACTTTTTCATTCCTGTTGGACTGGACAGCATAATGACATATTCTCATAATTATATAATTCATAATGTTAACTGGTAAAATATAATTGTTATAAGTTAAAAATGTGCAGAACAAGGAAATAGTGTAGACAAGTTATAAKTGTCTCACCTCAATCAGAAAATGAATATTCAATTTTCAACAGCATTTGAAAAATATTTGGGTAAACTAGTCCAGACATACTTTTAGAGACAGCATTTTAACAATTGTAATTTATGTGCATTTTTAAAGAAATAAACTGGCAAAATCATGTTTATCTGACAAAATGCGGTTCCAATAAAATTATTTCCAATTTATAATTTTTCCAAAAGTATGCAGTTCACAGACGAAATACGTTTCCGACAAAATACGATTCCGGCAAAATTCGGTACCGATAAAATACGTTTCTGACAAAATATTTTCTGAAAAAATAAATTCCAACAAAATATGGTTCCAAAAAATTCGATTCCAAAAAAAAAAAAAATTCTGAAGAAATACTGTTCCAATAAAATATTTTTTCGAAAAAAAAAAATTCCGATTAAATATTTTCCGACCCAATACGGTTCCGACAGAATACGGTTACGACAAAATATTTTTCCGATAAAATACGTTTCCGACCAAATATATGCCGACTTTTTATGCGCCACCCCAATGAGGAGCAAAATCAAATTTTAGTATGTTTTAATTATTTTATTACTTACGAGAACCTTATAATCTTATTTAAATATCAAATATTCAAGGAKTCACCATTGCCMTTTGTTGGTTTTTATCGATTTAATTTAAATTTAAATAATCAAAAAACATTTAGATGGTTTGTTCACAAGTTTAAAATAATAATAATAATACATCGATTCGATTAATTATTAAATTGATTTAAAATAATATAAATTTTATTTGGAGTTAACTAAAAGATTTAATATTATAGTCTAATAATTGTCGAAATAATTATCCTTACACACTCATATCAAGTATCTATTTTAATCCTACGGACTATGTTTTATAATTAAAGGTCAGATATTTATAAATATAGTAGGTAAATCGGAAAACTGGCTTGACAGTGATACCGATAAAAAAAAAATATCCTTAGTTCGGTTTAATATTTAAACATAAATTAAATCAGTCAGAAAATTTAGTTTTATAAAAAAACTTTAACATTTTGAAAATGTAAATTTATTTTTTAATTTCATTTTAAGCTTTTTTATTTTTTATTTCCGTCTTACATAATATGTAAACATACCAATTATTCATTCACTAGTTTCAATAGAGTGCTGTGGGTTTTGATATTAGAGTGAATAATATTAAACTTTTAGTCAAGAACATTATCTGTGCCTAATCTTCGGCATTTTAATTTTCAAGCGGGATAGCATTATTAATTTTTGATATTTCAAGTAGGCACCCGTAATCTTGTTTGAAAATTAAAACATTGAATAAAAGCCGAAGATTAAGCACAGTTCTTAACTAAAAGTTTAATAATATTTACTCTAATATCAAAACTCACAGCACACTATATAAACTAGGTAGTGAATGAATATTTGGCCATGTCATACATTTGTAAGACGGAGTCAACAAACGCATAGGTAGATAATATCCTCTTAATAAGAAAAATATAAACCATCTAAAGTAGAGTTAAATTATAGTAAAAAATATATAGTTTATAATAMTCAAAATAATCAAAATATACATTTATTCATTTTAGTTTTAATTTCAAGATAGAATACATGTTGGGTTTGTAAAAATATTATTTTCAAAATAATAATTATTCTTTGTCAATTACCTCTAAAATCGTATTTTTATTTTAAAATATAAATATATAATATCTTCGAAAAAAAATATCAGGATCGTGGTTCCCATGGAGGGTGGGTAAAAACGATTTTACAAATGCGAAATTATGTTAAGCAGTCAGGAGTGCTAAATGAACATTTTCACAGCTCTGAGTTAACTATGTATAAATACATCAAGGTATTATTTTTTTTGTCCTCAATTGTAATCATTTATCACCGTTGATTAGGCGTTAGATATGTCATTATGTCCTATTCATGTTTTTATTATCTATAGTTATTAATAAGAATATAATATTGATTTCAGCCATTTACTAATTGGTTTTCCCCGTTTTTATAATATTGGTATTAATACTTAACTTTAAATTACAGATGTTAATTAATTATTATTTATGTAATTAATTTAAAAAAAATTTAGCTGTGAAACGTTGATAGTAATAAGCTTACTTATATATTTACTAAAAGAAAAAAAGAAACATATTAAATGGGTAATTTACAAGTCCGAAAATAAGTACCTATAATATTATGTTACACTATAATCTCTATATACTATTTTATTTTTCACGATTGCCGTATTAAAAAGAGAAGGGGTCTTCTCTAACACACTATACAGTTACTTAGCAGGAAGAGAATGTCTGAAGTAGGTTACAATATAAAGTCGTTACAGGTGGAGGGTTTGGAATATCGTAGTAAAAGTAGGACGATGACTATAAACGCACTTGGAATGCAGAAGACCAATTTAGTTGTATCTGTGAAATCTACCACATCGCAGGTTTGTCTTTCTGAAGAAGTCGCCTCTCGTAGATAAATATTACTTGTAGGTAAGAAAACTTCCAAGGTACACTACTCCAGGTAAGAAAACTTCCAAATGTATTTAACTTATTTTAGTAAATTAACTCTTCTGATTTCGTTTAAATTAATGTTTTTACAACGCTCGAGTCTAAATCATAACTCATATAAATACTAAGTCATACACTACCTATTTAAAATAAAATGTTACTCATAAATAATAATATATAATAATATTCTTTGAGGTAAGGTACCCATATAATTTATTTTCAAATATCTCTATTTTTAAAATTTATTTTACGAATCACCTTAGACAAAACTATCAGTTAAATAAAATTAATATTTAATAATGAAATTCCGAAATATCAAACCATGGGTAACATTATAGTTTGTTATTTCATTGTCTGTTTTAGTATAAGCTATATTGCTTCCCAAAAATAATATAAAATTTTTGAATTTATTATACAGGTTAATCTTATCTTTCAAAAATACTTTTGTACTTATATAGTATCTAAGTATCAGGATTCTGAAATGTTCATAATTTTTCTTGATTTTGTTTCATTTTAGTTTCCGATTAAACAAGAAACAAATCACAAACAATTACAATAATTGTACAAGAAATGTTTTTTCTAAATTTATAATAAAAACTACTTAATAAACACATTGTATTTTTTAAACTTCACAAAAAAAAAATATTATTGAATATTAAATATTTGGCACACTTCCACTTTCAGGAAATTAAAATATTGAAAAATTACTAGGTTTGTTACTTCTTAAATTATTTTATTAACTTTTAAGGCAAATTGTATTTTTAGTTGATTTTTAATACGCGCGTTTCGTATAAACTTAAAGAACATCTCACAGAAAACTGGTTTACACAGGATAAATACTGATAATATAATATGTACACTTCAACACTTAGACGCTGTACCTACTATATGTACGAGTCAATGACCTGCTACAAAATAATGTTTTATTAATTATGACAGAAGTAAACAATTAAAAAAACAATTATATCTAAATTAAAATATTTCAAATGAAATAATATTTAACATGCATTTTTGTAAGTACTTAACTAAAGTAATATTATCGTTTATTATCGACATACGAAATCATGTATTAATATATTGAATTTATGGGAAATTACATTATTTCTTTAACTGATAATTAAGTAAGCAACATAATAGGTTGATACATAATATCAAGTAGGGTGTACGRTAAACTGCTAATAATAATTACCATAAATCAATAAATATCTAACTAATAAAATATTGTATAACAATAAATTACATGGGAAAACACAAAACATTACAACTACATTATACAGTGGAACCTTGATAACTCGAACCTCTATAGTCGAATTTTCAATAACTCAAAGGAATGGCTCCTGCCATACAATATACCTAATGATATGTGTGATCTTCCGAAAGTCGAATTTTCGATATCTCGTACTTTTTTTTTGTCCCCAACCGATTCGAGTAATCGATAATCCAATGTATTATAATAATAAATTTTAAAATGAAAAGTAGTACCTATATATTYATTTTTAAATTTAAATTGTTTTTCATGAAATTAAATAAGGATGCGTATTTGTTATTTTAGAATTTGTGTAACTCTACACATTTTCTATGAACTTAATTACATTTGACGAACATTTTTTTAATGAAGTCATTAAGATGGCGTCACACTAGATTGTACTATTATGGGTTTTTTCTGATACTTTAATTTTTAAGTAAGTAATGAGTAGTATAATATTACAATTTAAAAATTTTCATAACTTGCTTAAAAATGTATGTACCTATCGTAAAAAACCACAGATAAATTTTTATATTTTTAAGTTTGATAATAGGTCAATCATCCTATATTATTAAAGATGACTGCACACAAAYACATAGCTGAACTCAAATTTTCYATGTTGTATGTTCATGAGACATTAAGCACCATTTCATAGCCACGTGTAGGTAGGTACCTTCGTATTACACACATTACAGATAATATTGAAGTTCGTATGGATCAACGGCATAATGGTACTATGTCACGTATAACTTCTAGTCGTCACTATTGTCGCGTATGAACTTAAATATTGTAAATCGAAAAAACGCATTGATAATATGCAGGGCCGGATCTAGGGGGGGGGGAGTAAATTACAAAATAAGTGTATTAGTGTATAAATGTTTGTAATAATTTGTGTTTAAAGTTTTTTATTTAATATATATTTATTCTAATCTAGCAAATATTTTTTTTCTTTTATTCTCTTTGATTTTTTTTTTTTAGAGTTAAATTGCTACATTAGTATAATTGTGGGCATAGCAACGGGGGAGGACGCTAATTTTATACTTTGCCCCGGGTAAATAATGTACTAGATCCGGCACTCGTACTATACGTGCAGCTGTGAAACAAAAACGTGACGTAAACAAAACAACCAGCGTGGCATTCTCTTAATTTAGTATATTTATTAAAACTAATAATATTTAAAACATCTTAATACATTTTGATACACATTTTGATACACAATTTTATTTATTTGTTTTATACAATTCTGAGGACGATAAAAATGTTATTTCTTATAGTTTGTTTTTTTCCCAAATATTTGGTATTTTTTAAGTTGTACCTTTTTCTAATATTTGATATTTTAAGGCAATTAGGTTTATTTAAAACTAATTGGTAAAATTAATTTAATATAGGTTTTAAACACAAATATATCGGTTAGATGGTTTGTTTCAACATTTACATTCGGTATAGGTAGATTACATGAGGTTTAACTTAGTATAAGCTGACAAATCAAAAACAAATTGTTGAAAAAATATGGGGTAACCTTACTCTTAATAAATTTTTAAAAAATAAATAGTTTTAGTATAATGTAGTCTCTATCAGTTTTAACTCAATTCATAGTTATTATTTCACATTATGTTTCTTTTTTTAATATATGAAATTGGAAACACGTTATTATAAGAGGTGTTATATTACTGAGGTTTAAGTTTTATTTGAATGTAGTAGACTAGGTATAGGTACTATAAATTATAAAAGCTAAAATCCATCTATTGAATGTGTGGTTGTTAGTTTTTACATCTATGCTATCTTTATTTTATCGTATTATATAAGACAAGCCCATAAACAATAATTAAGTAACACAAATTACAAATTATAGGAAACTATAAATTAGGCAAGTAAAATTTAAAATTATATGAATTTTAATGTAAAAGAAGCACTAAAATGTGTAATCTTGTACAAAATAAAACAATGTTTAAATTCATTTATTAGTCTATATCTATCTTGATTTTGATTTATAATTTATTTCTAAAAAATTTGAAATAAAATGTTACAATTTAACGATAATCCAGCCTTTTGTTAGTTGCAGATATATCAAGTTTGATCATAAGCTCATGTCTATAATTCATATTTAAGTCATGTATTTACAATATCTATAATACAATATAATATTACCTACTTTCAGATTACGCTTATTGTAAAAACAGAAATATAGTCCATCTAAAGACATATGCGTGCGCACGGGGTAAGCTAGGTGGGCCATGGCTCATCCTGCGAGCCATACTGTATCTGTTGTATATTATATTGTGATCTGATAATTTTTTCCATGAAACTTAAATAATACAATTACAAATTACAATTTTCTATAATAATAATTAATTAAAATAATTAAATACATTTAAAATTGAAAAATTTAATTGATTAAATATTTTAAAGTATCTCTTGAAGGTATCTAAACCATAATTGAATTGGCCCACCCTACCAAAAAGGTCTGCGCACGACTATGTCTAAAGAACAAATGACGTAATATTTCTGATTGGTACGTACCTACGTATTAGTGCAGACTACAGAGTAGTTTTAAGTTTACTTGTAATTTTTTACTCACTTTTCATAACAGACTAAACCACCATACTATACATAATTATTTACTGCAACAATATTCCTACATTGTTCTAAAAAAATATTGGTTAATTTCCTTTCTACTTTAATAATAAATAAAAACAATTCTTTTTTCCCTCATTAAAAAAAAAAAAAATACACAGAAAAACAAATTAAATGAAATCATCAAACATATATGTGTGTTTTTGATATTAAAATAATGTAAATAATAATAATATTTTTTTATGGGCATATATTCATATTATAAAGAAAACTATATTATTTGATATTTATGACTATTAACATTTGCATAAGATAGGTAATGCAAAAAACCAAGCATATCAAAATAAATATCTAAAAATAAAGTTGACAGTAACAGAATATAATATATAGTATAGTAGGTATACAAATAATTTTAATGATTTAAAATTTTAATATTCTACTTGATTTGTAACTATGCAAATTGAATGAAAATACATAACAATATAACATTTTAAGTATATCTAGGACCTAGGAACTAGTAAAAAATACTAATTAAAAAACATATTTTTTAAATAATATTTTTATTAATAACACTGGTGAAAATTATAATTCTTGATTATCATTATTATTATTATATATAAAATTATAAGAAGTTTTCAGTGAACATGATTTAAACCAAACTCTGCACAAAATCATTTTCGAATTTGATGGTTTATGTCATTTTTTTTGCTTTTTTGTGTATCATTTTTATGGTGTTAAAATATATAATATTAGTAAATCACCATTCAACGCAAGTAAAACAAATTCCCAAAGGTCATCACTCATCAGTATCTTTTTGTATTTATTTGATCTAGATAAATAAACTAAAATATAATATTAATCTAAATAACTCTAGAAAGTCAGTARTTAATTCAATGGGATCAAAAATTAAAAAATATTATTTGAAAAAAAATAGGAACCAGCTGCTTAATTTATAGGTAATCTAAGAGAAATTTAAAATAATTATTTATTGAAATAGATACTTAGAAGTTTGACGATAATGTTGAATAATGGTTAATTGTTGTATAAGAAGAAAGTTTTCATAACCAATTGTGTAAAGAACTATTTTTTAACATAATAATATTATAATTATGTGCACATCGTGTTATAGTTTGAAGGTCTATAGCTATTAAGAAACTATGAGATGAGAAGTGCATTTAATAATCTAATTTTCT